ACTCGTTTAAAGGGGGTTATATAAGGGATTATCTAAGAGACTACTACAGGTTTTGTTAAGGGGGATACTGGGAGTTTAGACTATAGCTCATGTAAAGAAGAGCTTTTCATGTGCAGCAAGTTTCCAAACAAATCGCAGAATCGTCGAAGGGAAACCCCTACAGCCTCCTGATGCTCGACACATGTCCAGAGCGTCTTCTAGCGTGTCGAAGGGCCTCCCTATAGGGTTTAGGGTTTAGGGTACACCCTTTAACCCCTGTAAACCCACGCGTCAGAAGGGACATTTCCAATATTAGAGAAACTTTTGGGGGTCCCTATAATAAGGATTATGGCATTTTTGGGTCTATATTGGGGTCTCCGCATCCAGGGAAACAACCAGAAAGGTTCCTTTCATCTTGGCCGTGTTCGTGGAGATTGCGGTGGCCTTGCGTCAGGAATCACAGCAGGAGGCTTCCTCCAGGGACTTTCCGAAGAAGTACTACAACTGCTGCTGGGTCATGGAAGTCAATGGTTGAGTAGCTTAAAAGAAAGTCTGCATGACCTCAAGTATACCATGGCACAATCTAGAGGGGCCTAGTATAGACCACAATATACAATACACATATTGTATGGGGACCCCCCAAACGGCTCCCGTAAACCCTAAGCCCTAAATCCTAAACCCTAAACCCTAAACCCTAAAACCTAAACCCTAAACCCTAAGCCCTAAACCCTCATGGCACCCCTAATTTTAGGAATCTGTCCTATAGTGTCACACAGGATTTTGTTCATAGCTCGTACCTTGAACTTCAGGTCTCAACCCGAAACGGGTTTAGGGTCTAGGTTTTAGGGTTCAGGGTTTAGGGTTTAGGGCCTGTAAGGCGCACCTTTTTGTTCCCCGGATCCCGCCGAAATGCTATGCGATCTTTCTAGAATGCCTATCGAGCAAGTGCTGTACCCTACTACTAGAATCTCCATAAAGCAAATTCTAAATCCTAAGCCCAAATCCCAAACCCTAAACCTGAAACCCAAATGCTGAATCCTAAGCCCCAAGCCCCAAGTCCCATACCCCAAACCCTAAGTCCCATACCCCAAACCCTAAGTCCCATACCCCAAGCCCTAAATCCTATACCCCAAACTCTAATTCCTATACTGCAAACCCTAAATCCTATACCCCAAACTCTCCTTGGGACTTAGCTTGGACCTTAGACCCTTAACCCTTTGTGATTCCCTTATACTCCTATTATAGGTACCTAAGGGTTAACCCTTAGTAGGGGTCATAAGTGCCGCGTAGACCTCTAAATCCTATTACCCAAGACCTAAATCCCTAAACCCTAAACCCTCTAAAACCAGATCCTAGGCTGGTGTAAAAAAGTCGATTCAGTGTCGGACTGTCCAGATTACTCGATGTACAACCAGGCCACGCGGTTTAGGTTTTAGGGTCTAGGACCCTGGGCAAATTGATGGGTCAAGGGTTGAGGGTTTTGGCGTTTAGGGTTTCGGCTTCAGGGTTTAGGCTTGTTAAGGGACCCTTACTATCCCCAGTAATGGAGAAACACATGGAAAAGGGATTACGTAGGGGTTTACAGGGACACACGTATACATACATATATGTATATATATATGTGTATACAAATACTTATAGATGTATGTATGTATGTGTGTATGT